TTTAAAAAGTTGGTCAAAGATAAAATTTTGGTATAATATTTACACTAGGACACAACATTTGCAAAAACATGTTATGCTATTCATTATAAACATAGAATGCAAGTATGAATTTATACATAAAATACACATACCTGGCTTCCCTTCTTTTTTTAGTTGTGGCTCTGAAAATATAGATGTACAGCAGTAATGATGATTATATAAAATATTTATTTCCTATACTCATGCATACAGGGGCGGGCAAAAGTGGGTTTGTAGTTGTTAGTACGGAAAATAATACAAGAATGAATTAAAAATAATGAATAATACAAGAATAAATTTTTGCGTACTCACAACTGTAAACCTACTTTTGTCCACCCTATTTCATTTACATATTATTCAGTTTTTTAGTATGCCATGTTAATTTTCTTTTTCTTATATAGTAGCAAATTAATACAAACACAAATAAAGGTTCTTCATTAGCAATCACAAGAGTTTTTTTGAGAAAAAAATATAAACTAAAAATTTTAATGAGGTTAATTAGGGTACTGGTTTGTACCTCCAGTGAATAAATGATGAAGGAAAATTTTAGCATAGCATATTCTCAGAAGAACACAAGATAATAGGCACATTTTTTTCACAAAATAATTAAGTTTTGGATTTAAGCAAAATATTGAACAATGGAATCAGAAGATGATTAAAAGCATGCATTTAAGATTTATTTATTATTTAGGCATGCACATAACATACGTGGAAGCTTAGGCTTGACTTCTTTGCCTAGACAAAGTTAAAAAAATATTAAAGACTGAGTCACTCAATTCTTGTTGAATCATCACTGAATATGATGGTACACTATAAATTTGAAAATTAAAATTAAACAAAAATCAAAATTTAGTTGTTATTCAAGACCCCAGCTATTCTTCTTTATTGAAATTTTATAGGCTATGTAATCTAATGTTCATGCCAAGTTACTATTTAAAAAAATCATTTTAAATAATAAAACTCTTAGCTTAATTTCATTTTACCATTAAAATATAATTTGTTCACAAACTCTTATGTGCAATGTTAAATTTTAATTTTATATTAAGGTAAGACAATTTTTGAGACATTATTTTTAACCCTTAATTATTCAAGATGAAAAAAAGCTAAGACAATTTTTAAAAAATTCTATTAATATTATCTATGTTATCTATCCCAGTATAATACATTAAAAAAATAATTGCTACTGAATTTGGAATTTTTATGACTAAAAATATCATTTGCTGTTATGGCATGAGGAACCCTAGTGCAGGGGTTGGTAAATTTACTGTGAAAAGTCAGAAAGTATATATCTTTGGATTTGGGGCCTTATGATCTCTGTTGCAACTATTCAACTCTGCTGTTGTAGCATGGAAGCAGTCATAGCAATATGTTAATGAATAGGAATGGCTGTGTTACAATAAAACTTTATTTACAGAAACTGGTGGCCATTGCATAGGCCATTGTTTGCCAATCTTCACACTATCCATAGTCAGTTTTAATTTCCTTTTTAAAAAAAAATCTCAACAATGATTGTGACAGTAAAACACACACACACACACACACACTCCTCCTTTGATTTTGTATTGTTTTATACTTGTTCTCCCATCACTGCTCAACTCAGCTTCTTAAGATTGTCACCTTTACTTGCTTTTTGTTCATCTCTTGACCCCCATTTCATTATCAATTCACTATATTCTAGCTTCTATTCCCACCATTCTATTTATCAGGTCTCTCTGATCACCAATTCTCCCCGACTACCAACACCATATGTAAGCAGAGGGATTAAGATGTTCAAGATATTCAATTGTCAGTTATAAAAACAGCCACTAGCTTCTATCCCACCATTCTATTTATCAGGTCTCTCTGATCACCAATTCTCCCCGACTACCAACACCATATGTAAGCAGAGGGATTAAGATGTTCAATATATTCAATTGTTAGTTATAAAAACAGCCATGGTCTATAACAGTCAGTATTATTGTAATAACCATGTATGGTGCCAAGTGGGTACTGCACTTATTGGGGTGATCACTTTATAAGAGATATATATATAGTGATCACATCACATATTTGTGTATGTGATGAAAGAAAAGAAATGGAGTAAGTTAGATTAAATGATTTCTAAAATCTTATCTAGGTCTAAAATTATATATTTACTAGAGGCCCAATGCATGAAATTTGTGCAAGGGGCTTGGCCCTCGCAGCCGGCCCTCGCAGCCCCAGCTTCGTCCGGAAGGTTGTCTGGAAGGACGTCCAGAAGGTCGTTCAGCTGTCTGGTCTAATTAGCATATTATGCTTTTATTATTATAGATGTTAAATACTAATTTAAATCTAAATAGTAAATAATTTACTAGGGAGGCGACATTTAAATAGGAATCAACCTGAAATGTTGCAGCATTCTTTTTGGCTTTATTGCTCTTTAGTAATGCTCTTTACCAAACTCTAGATAAATATTCTGCTTTGGGGGCATGTTTAAGCCTAGGGACAGATTAACAAACCTTGTTTTTATGGCCAGTGAGTGTGTCCAAATATAATATATCTATTTAGTACAGAGCAGATGTTGGCTGTGCTGTAGCTATACACCTTAGCCAGAAAAAAACCAACAGGCACTTTACCTTTTAAATTGACTTGAAGATTAATGTCTAAACTTTGTACTATGTATACTGAATAAGCAAACCATTTGGAGGAGGCAAAAAATATTATAAGGACTTTTATAGGATGCTTGAATCAGTTCCAAAATCTTATTGCATTTTTCTAGATGCCATCATTATTCAGCTACATATTTTATGAGTTTTTCTAATCTTAATTAAAATTAAAATTGAAGAAATAGAAATATATAGAATACATTATAAAAGTTTTAAAGACATGCTTTTTGATCTGTATATGAATTTATGTAAACAAATGTTTCTTTTTCCTTTTTTTTCTACAGAGGTATTCTTATTTAGGGACAGTCTCATTTATCAAATGTACAGTATAAACTTACTTGTTTCAAACAATAATGTAGTGTTATCTAATGTTCAGAAATATATTTGCAGAGATTTAATAAAAATGATGTGAAGTTTAGCATTATCTATGTAGAGCTGAAAATCAGGGAAAGAAATTACAATTAATGCTTGCAAATTGCCCCTTAATATTCTGAAAGCCATTTAGTAAGCAAAAAGTGCCTCTGACAATTGGAATTAAATTTCTGGAAACTTTTTTATTTTGTGTTTAGAGAGAAATGCTGTCTAGTAGATAAGAAGTAAAAGCATTGTTCATGTTTGTCTTTAATTTTAAAAGCAATTGTACTCGGCAGAATGATAAGATCATTTTGGGGATGTTCTTTAAGGTCTGTTTGTATTGAGGTCTGTGGCTAATGTGGCCTCCTACAAAGATAAGCCCAGTGAAACTTCTATAGAGAAAGGAATTTTTCATCCTCATCAGCTTTGTATTGTGCTAAGTTTTCTAGTCACCAAATATTTTGTTAAATTTTTTGAAGCTGTACTCTAATAAAATACAATGGAATCATTTTAGTTGTTATTCAAGCATCCTTTGACCATTCTGTTCTGACAATCCCTCTGAGACAATTATTTTATCTATTGTCTCAAATGAATGGTGAGGGATCTTTTGGGTCCTGACCTTTGATATTCAAATGGATTACAAGTGATGTAGATGAAACTGTTTAACAGTAAATGTTTGTTTTCACCATAATCAGGTATGAGATACTGGGAGATTTTATATATATACTAGAGACCTGATGCACAAAATTTGTGCAAGGGGGTCAGCCGTCACAGCCCTGGCTTCGTCCAGAAGGTCATCTGGAAGGTCGTTTGGCTGTCTGGTCTAATTAGCATATTACGCTTTTATTATTATAGATATAGATTTCAGAGAGGAAGGGAAAGGGAGAGAGAGATAGAAACATCATGATGAGAGGGAATCATTGATTGGCTGCCTCCTGCACACTCCACACTGGGGATTGAGCCTGAAACCCGGGCATGTGGCCTGACCAGGTATCAAACTGTGACCTCCTGGTTCATAGGCTGACGCTCAACCACTGAGCCACACCAGCTTGGTGAGACTGGAAGATTTTAATCATAAACCAACAGAAAAATAGAGGAGGTTAATCTGAACCATTACTTTAAAGCCTTTTTTATATGGAACTTGATATAGCATTGCCATCACACTGTGATTATCAAGCTATTCAATTATTTATTTGACAAGCATTTATTTTGCACTTAGTTATGCTAAGCACTTCAGCCCCTCAAGAGTATTTAGCCTATAAGGTTGACCTACTAATTGAAACAATTGCTGTGGACAAGTTTAATTCTGGTAACAGTCATAGAAATGAGATTTGGTTGAAATGCTGTGCTAGGTGCATCTCCTTCAAAGAGCACAGGAAAGGACGTGAGTTCCAGATATCACACATATCCTTTGAAAAGTTGGGGAAGAATGGAATATAAAGAGATATAT